ACAATAGCAATGGTCCTAATGTATTTGTTGTTTTACATTTTTAATTTCCAAAGCTTCTGAGATTCAAAAAGTCCAAATATTGACAAATAATCATATGACAGGGATTTTAACACAAAGTTATCATGGAAGTGCCTCTTGTTACATTTATAAAGTAGTTTGACAACAAGCAGGAAATTTTCATGGGCCAATGACATCACCACATTAAAATGGTCTTTTTAAAAAAAAAAAAAAAAAACTGACATCCAACTAAAGTGACAGTGGAAAATTCACAAGTAATGTTACAGTCATTTATTTTGCGAGGACGTTTGCATTTTACACCACTGAGGTGAAATCTTATATTAAGACATTTACTTTTTAACATTACTTTACAGAATTTGAATACATTGCTTTAAGCAACACTATGCAACTTTCTCTCGCTGCTCCCCCTTGTGGTTGATGAGCACAATTGCATGTTGCCAATAAAGCAAATTTCACAGTCCAGGGGTCTGTTCTCAGTACCTCGCTTAAATTATCTAAGACAGTGGTCACCAAACTTGTTCCTGGAGGTCCAGTGTCCTGCAGATTTTAGCTCCAACCCTAAACAAACACACTTGAACAAGCTAATCAAGGTCTTACTAAGCATACTTGAAACATCCAGGCAGGTGTGTTGAGGCAAGTTGGAGCTAAACCCTGCAGGAACACCGGCCCTCCAGGACCGAGATTGGTGACCCCTGATCTAAGATGATCATTTCATAACTGATCTCTGGCAAATTTTGGTCTTTAAACTAGTTAGTTTGCAAATCAGATTAAAATGTCTGGATGAACTGATCTAGGATGGCTGCGTGTGTTGTGAAGGGCTGATTTATCAATGCTCATAATCATGATCAGCAATGCAACGATTGGCTGACGGCACAGTAGCGTAATGACATCATCTGATTAATATTCAATTATCCATGCGAGCAAAATTCTATAAAATGTGTAGTAATCTGTTAATTATGATAAGCAACAACTTTCCACCTTTGTTGTGGGCTGCTGGCTTTACACTTTCATGCGTCAAGAGTATTTAGCAATTAATTTAGTTTTACAGATAATCTTTATTAAAAGCCTATTCAAGTTCTTAATAAATGGCTGCTCAAATAAATTGTAATAAAATATTTTGATATCGGTAAACGTGTCTGCAACTTTTGCAAAGTATCGCATATTATCTGTCAAAATGTATGTATGACTGCATGAATTATTATTCCTATTTTGAAAATATTGGCCATGCCTATTATCATACACATTTTACTAAAGCTGGGTTGGCACCTTTAAATAGTATGCGTATCTTAAAAAGTCCATATTAATAAATGTTCTCTTTGAACCCCTTGACAGTTTTTGTTCTTTTATCTGAGAGTGTAGATTGCATAACAGTATATATAATTCTTTAAAACCATTTTTCCTAGTGTACAGTTGAAGTCAGAATTATTATATATATATATATATATATATATATATATATATATATATATATATATATATATATATATATATATATATATATATATATATATATATATATATATATAGCTTAAAGGGGCTAATAATCTTGACCTTAAAATGGTTTTTAAAAAATTAAAAACTGTTTTTATTCAAGCCGAAATAAAACAAATAAGACTTTTTCCAGAAGAAAAAAAACTTGCAAACATACTGTTAAAATGTCCTTGCTCTGTTAAACATCATTTGGGAAATATAAAAAAAAAAGAAATAATAAATTAAAGGAGGGCTAATAATTCTGACTTCAACTGTATATAATCTATAGGCTACTACTATAAGAAAATGTCAGCATTTAGTACTGACCTTCAGTATTACCTTGAAATGACCCAATCTAATCCTCCTGTTATCAAAAAAGCCTGTTCCCGAGTAGGTTTGGGCTACCAGACCTGTTAATATGACAAAAACTCTGGGATGAGTTTTGAAGAATGAAACGATCCTGGATTGTGTCAAATCATCACTATCCATATCTAGCTAGTTGAGTAATCCATGTACGAAGAATAGACCCCAGGTCAGGTGTTTCTATGTCCAAGTTGCAAGTGGGACTTTAGGCAATAGGAGTCAGATCTGGTAGCTACAGCAGCAGAACTCATCTGGTTAAAAGTTTATTCTCCCTCACAGTCCAAAGATATGCATTATTGGTGAATTGGAAAAACTAAATTGGCTGTAGTGAACACTGAAAAAAAAAATTTCTATGAAGGTAGGTGGTTGCAACAATTTATATAGGCAGAATTGAAACAAATGAAGTTCAATTTTACTATATAATTTATTTGTTTAAATTCAGCCTTTATTGTTTGCAACCACTTTTAGTAAAATTTTGTAAATCCAAATAATCATTTTTCCAGTGTTTGAATGTGTGTGTGAATGATAGGGGTGAATGGGTTGTGGCCCAAAGGGCATCCACTGCATAAAACATATGCCAGGGTGATTGGCGATTCATTTTGCCGTGGCAACCCCTGATAAATCAGGAATTAGGCCAAAAGGATAGTGAGGAATAATTTAGGAATATAGTCAAAAAAAGGTTTTGTTTTTCCCTAAAAAGCTTTTACAGCTCTTTGCTTTAACATGCTGTTGTATAATCATTATATAATCACTGGCATAAAAAATTTATTTTAATGACAATAATATCACTTACCACAATTATTTCTGACAATATATCGTATATGTAAAAGTGGCAATCATGAGAGGCCTAACAGTACTCTCACTAAACCCAAAACATTTATTAAATTTTTATTTTAAGCTTTATTTAACATATTTTTTTCATTAAAGACTTAAATGTATTTTGCTGGGCGAGGCAGTGGCGCAGTAGGTAGTGGGTTTCCTCCACAGTCCAAAGACATGCAGTAGAGGGCAATTGGGTAGGCTAAATTGTTCGTAGTGTATGAGTGTGTGTGTGAATGCGAGTGTGGATGTTTCCCAGAAATGGGTTTCGGCTGAAAGGGCATCCGCGGTGTAAAAACTTGCTGGATAAGTTGGCGGTTCATTCCGCTGTGGCGACCCCGGATTAATAAAGGGACTAAGCCGAAAAGAAAATGAATGAATGAATGTATTTTGCTTATGACTTTTTTATTATTATTTTGATGTAACATAATAATAATAAAAAAAAAGTTAGGACAGAGGCAAAATGAAAAAAAAAATGTGTATAGTCTTAAAACTGCATTGAGCTGGGGGCCAAAAGCATGAAAAACGACATTTCTCAATGCAAAATTGTGAATATTGTAAAAAGACTGAGGGACGTGCACAAGAAACAACCATGCTGTGGTGTTAAATAAAGCCAAATTAGCTTAGGGTTACTTCTGAAAACCACTGTGACTGAACACAGTCTTGTCGCTGCATCAAGAAATATAAAGAGTTCAGATGCCAAAGCCTCTAAATGCCATCTGAAAGTTTTTCAAAACTTGAGTGTAGGTTCAGTCATTTCACTTTTGTGGCAATGAATAGGTTTTTTTGTTGCTTAAAAAGTGAAACAACTGAACATAAACATAGAATGCTGAGGAAAAAAAGTTCATTTCAAAAGACCGATAGAGGCGTTTGCATCTGAATTCTGAATGTAACTTGAATCCTTTTCACTCTAGGAGAAATCTGTACATCTGATTTTTGCTTCTCAAGGCCAGAGCTCATCTCAGATAAGATGTAAAAAATATGTGCTGGGGTCAAAAGAGTCCACATTTTAGCTTATTTCTTAAGTCTGGAACCATCCAGACTTTCATGAGTGATCGATGCAAAACGAAATGCCAGTCATGGTTTGATGCTTCAGTCTGGAATCATGTCAGATATGATAAAATGTTGCCTGTAAAACTTTAATAATTAATTTTTCAAACAATAAAAAAGTCTCATTTACAGTAAAGTTAATGTGACACGGTGTTAAACATGTCCAAGTTTATGTCATATGATTACAGGTCAATTTAGTCTAGGACTAGCCTTAACGTATAGTTCATCTAAAACTGAATATGGTCATCATTTATTCACTCTCCACTTGTTCCAAACTAGTTTGCAATATTTTTTTTTTTCTGTTAAACACAGTAGAAAATATTTTTCTTCAACTTAAGGGCAAAAAAACTGCAAATTTTCATTTTTGATTGATCTATTCCTTTAAATCTTGTGTTTGAAACCAAGGCAAATAAGTAAAAAGTTTAAACCATTGCACAGGATGATAGCGATATTGAAAGTCCTCTATAACTAAAAAACATGCTGGATATCAGATGGTAAACCCTTTAGTACCAGTAACAAACCAGCATAATTATCTCATGGATTTCAATTCTTAATACACTTTTCTTGAATCCAAACTGCTGGCATCTCCAAGTAATCAATCCTGTTTTAGAAAAATGATTTGCTTCAAGATCCCAGCCACATGCTCAAGATCAGACACCAGTTGATTTTTTCTAGAAGGGAGGATATTTATCATATGTGCGAGTTTCAACAGCAAATTCCTTCACTCTATTAAACATTTAAAAAGGCATACTATATTCGCTGAACCTAAAGTAAGCAAAACTACTGAACACTCATTGATTTTAAAATGCAGGTCTAAGTTTGAAACAAAGCACAACTTTACAACTCTTTAGTCACTTAAAACCCTATTCAAGTCCATCAGCAATGTCACAACACTTAAACTCATTCAATAAATAAACAACAAATTAACATGACTAATAGTTCAATAGAAGAAAAAAAGAGTGTAAAATATCCTTTTTTTAGCTGCTTTTTCATAACAAATTCTTTCGTAAACTTGGAATGACAAAGTACAAATAAACAAATGAATAAAACAAATGTCTCCTCATTTAAGCTCATTTGTAAAGTGAAAAAGCAATAACTTTAGCTGCATCGCGGGTTGCACACGTTCATTCACAGGTTATCACACTTCACTGCACTACACTTCACTTGACTTCAAACTATTTAGCATGTACTGTCTTGATGATACAGCATTGTAATCCCACAAACGGCAGCTTACATAACAAACCAAGACTAAGTTTACAAAAGATAAACCAAACTCCCACCTGATCAATCGTGCGTCATGACGGCAGGAAACGGCCTGGATGTCCGGAAGGTGTGGATTTTTTGTATCTAACGTTATTTTGTTCCGAAAGATTTTATTATGTTTTTTTTTTTTTATATTAGGGCATCCTTAAGAATATGTTTACTCTCAGAGCCGCTCAACATGACTTATATGCCCTTAAGGAACGTTATTGGACGCAAACGTACGTCTCATATGACCTTGATGAGGTAAATGTGATCGTGTGTGGATCTCCAGTGTTGTGTTATAATTGATTGCCAGCAGATGTCGTTGTTCTACAGCAAAAAGCACACTTTCTACGACTAGGCTACAAAACAGGTGAGTCTGATAACAATTTAAAGTAATAAATAATAATTATGATATTAATAATTATCCTCTTCTGCGTACATTGTTTAATTATGAGTGTTTATTATTATTTATTTATTTGTATAAATAAGAAAAAAAAGATTTTAATTATTAATCACAAAACCCATTGAAACCCACCAACAGACTAATGCAAAGCTTAAGAAAAAAAAAACAAATATAATAAACAGAATAGGTACATACGTGCATAATAAGATTACAATAAACAAATAATAACATAATAGCAATGATAATAATATTATGAAAATAAATAAACAAACCAAATGAAAAAAAAATCATATAAAGATAAAATAATGATGAAATAAAATACATAAATTCAATTATGACATACCATAACTCAAAATGCAGCTTAAAGAAACTTCCATAAGGTCTAAGTTAGGATTGCAGACTTGATGAAAAGCCTCAGAGGACATATGAATATCACAGGTAAGAAATTCTAAGGGAATCATTTCCCTAATAAAATTGTGCCACCCTTTCAAGGGTGGGGGTTTGTCACTGACCCAGTTTATCAGTATATGTTTCCTTGCCACAAAGGCTAAAATGCCAAATAAACAATTAGTGAATTTGTCAGGCAAACGTCCAACCGGGAGACCTAAAATTAAAGATAGTGGATCCGTCTGTAGCTGAAGTCCAAACATTCATTCATTCATTTGCTTGTTGGCTTAGTCCCTTTATTAATCTGGGGTCGCCACAGTGGAATGAACCACCAACTTGCAAACTCCACACAGAAACGCCAACTGAGCCGAGGCTCGAATCAGCGACCCAGCGAACTTTTTGCTGTGAGGTGACAGCTCACAAACACATACACATACAGCTCATAAAAGTAACTACTTTTGCCCAATAAGCTTTAATAACAGGACAGTTCCATATTAAATGGGTGTGGTCTCCCACTTCCACCTTAAATTTAACACAAAGTGGTAAATTGTTTGAATTAAACTTGCTTCTGAGAAGTGGTGTGATGTATAATCTATGCACAATTCTAAATTTAACAGATTTGGCCCTGTTGCAGACAGAGATCTTTTACCCTGAGTCCAGATTAGATCCCATTCCACATATGTAATGATCAACTGAAGCTCCCCCTCCCATATTCTTTTAAGTTCCTGAGTATTCACATATGTACAAAGTGCATTAAAAATATATGTTTTCTGCTTGCAGTAAGCGGGATTCAACAAAATCTTCTATATGACTGGCATGGAATAGGTGTAGTACTTTTAAAAATATAATCCAGAATTTGAAGAAATCTAAAGAAATGAAATCTGGGTAGTTTATATTTTATGACCAAGTCTTCAAAAGATATTAACAAGCCTTCATCAAACAGAACACAAAGTCTACATAACCCAAAAGTATTTCAAGTTTTAATCCCAGAATCAAAAACTCTGGGTTATTGTAAATGGGGGTTAAAAAAGAGGATAGATCAGCTCTGCCCTCTATCTTGCGTATAATAGACCAGGCTTTCCAAGTATTACATACAACGCTGTTATCACATAATGTCTTGACTTCGATTCTTTAGAGGACAAGATGACTGTGAAGCTTCTAAACCAAGCCAAATTGATTTAGGGTCCTCTTTAAGCCATGCCCCTGTGAACCTGATCTGGTAGGCCAATTGGTATTTTCCAACATTTGGCAAATCCAAGCCCCCCAGAGATAGAAAACTACAATTTAGAAAGTTTTAGCTTTTTAAGTTTAATTCTTTAATTCTTTTTTTTTTTTTGGATTAATATTATTAGTATCATCTGCAGCGGATAAAGAAGACAAGGCATTACGTATATTTATCTTTACTACAACAATCCTTCCTAGCCAGGAAAGAGGGAGATCTGGCCATGTAAACAGATTATTATAATTTTTTTTTAGGAGTGGAAGAAAATTAACTTTAGATAATTGACAGATTGTGGGGGTATTATTAATTCCTAAATAAGTATAACCTGTGTGCCTAATAGTTTTAAATGCAGTGCAACAGATTTAGAAAATTTTATCTTTTAGCCAGAGAAGCTACCAAATAAATGAATTATATCTACTAAACCTGGTACTGAAGATTCAAAACTAGAAAGAAAAAGCAGGAAATCATCTGCATATCATCTGTCGTCTCCTCCCTTATTGCCTGAGCCAATGGCTCAATCGCTAAAGCAAACAGCAATGGGGAGAGAGGGCACCCTTGTCTAGTACCCCGAAACTGAGGAAAATTATATGACCTGTAACCGTTGCAAGAGCTTCAAGAGGTGAAGAATAAAGTAAATTAACCCAACAAATAAAATTATCACCAAGGCTAAACCTTTCTAGACTGTGAAAAAAATAAGGCCACCCACCCTGTCGTAGGCATCCTCTGCATCTAAGGATAATATAAGGGTGTCAGTATTGCATTTATGTGACAGCTCAATAATATTGAGAAGCCGTCTAATATTGTTACTAGAATTTCTATTCTTAATGAAGCCTGTTTGGTCGTCATCAAATATAAATGGAAGTATTTTCTCCGGTTGTAATAGTCGTAAGTATCTTGGAAAGCAACTTTAAATCTACATTCAACAAGGAGATTGGCCTGTAGGACCCACGGTCCTCTGGGTCTTTTGCTTTTTTTTAAGAGAAGGGAGATATTTGGCCTCTCTAAGTGACAGAGGTAACATGTTTATCTTAAAAGAATAATCATACATGGCTAAAACGTGATCTATTAATAAGTTCTCAAATTCTCTATACACTTTACTCCCCAGGCCATCTGTGCCTGGGGACTTACCAGATTGTAACCTACGTAAAGCCACTAAGGCTTCCTCCTTTGAAATGGGGGGATTCAGCATCGTTCTTTGCTCATAAGTAAGATGTAAGATGTTTATCTTACTGTAAAAAAAAAGTACAAAAATAGTCCAGAACTTACAAACACAACTCACCCAAGAAGCAAACAACATATCCACATTGTCCACACCGCTCAGCTCGAAGTATGAGAAATAAGTAATGTTACGGAACGTAAATCACTCATTCTGGTCGGTGCTGAAAATGTCAACGCAAGGCAAAGTTAAATAGCACCGCTACCCATGATTCTGCGACGTTGCCAGCTGCAGCCGGTTTTACTCACTGATCCTTTTCAGACGTGAATTCTGAAACAGCAGCCGGTGTACTGAAAACCTTGGTGGAATTCCCGATAGTTACTCGCAACTTAGCTAGATATAACATTGCATAGTGGGCTCCGATTTTTTTCAAGCAATGTTTAACCAAATCAAATTCCCTGCGCTTACGGAGCAATGCGGCAGAGAAATCTTGATAAAAAGATACCTTGCTGTTGTCGAAGACCTGGTTTCCATCCATGGACAACTTTCTGCTTGTGTCAAGAATCTTCTGTTTATCTCCGAAGTTATGCATGCGAACTGCCATCAACCTGGGTCTCTCTTTGGCACCTGGTCTTGGTGCTAGAGTACGGTGAGCTCTTTCAATCTTAACATGCCCAAGAAATAAAGAAACTCTGGAATCCATTTTTAAAGAAATAACACCATGTTAGAGTCCTCTGCCCCTTCAGGTTAACCGAGAATGTGAATGTTTTTGCACCTTCTTCTGTTCTCCAAATCATCTATGTGGTTTGCAAGTGACACGGCTTAACTTTCCAGCGTGAGAACATGGGCCTGCATGCCTTCTGTAAATTCCTCCGTTGTAGCGATTCTTTCTTTTGCCTCATCCAGTTGAGTCTTGAAGTTCTCCAGTTGTCGAGAATGAATTTGTACGAACTCAGCTAGAGGGTCAAGTTTTGCGTCTATCGTTTTTGAAATCTATTCCATCATTTGGTGAAATGCCTTTGCCATGGAAGGGCTTAACTCAAAATCGCCGCTAGTTTCGGCCTCACAGGGTTCCGGTGACGAGTTCGGGGAAGTCTTTCTTCTCGGTTTTCTTTGCAGCATGAGGCATTTTCAAAAAAAATTGTGGCCAAAAAGATTCCAGAGACACAATACTATAATCAAATGTCAAAAGCCATGAAGTTGCGTCAGACTACAATTAGTAATTCGCTGATTGGTGCAGGAGCATGTGAAAATAGCTGTTACACTCTATCTGCCATCTTGCCCCTCTTTATTATTATTTATAAATTAAATTTAATAAATATTTACACCAGAAAAAAGGTGGTTTTCTATTTTCTGGTTAGAGGACAGTCCTTACTCCAGGTGGAGAAGTTCAAATGTCTTGGGGTTGTGTTTACGAGGATGGAACATGAGATTGACAGGTGGATTGGTGCAGCAACAGCAGTAATGCGGTCGATGTATCAGTCTGTATTGTGGTAAAGTAGGAGCTGAGGTGAAAGGCAAAGCTCTCGATTTACCGGTCAATCTACGTTCCTACTCTCACCTGTGGTCATGAGGTTTGGGTCATGACCAAAATACAAGATCTCGGATACAAGTGGCCAAAATTTGTTTACTTCGCAAGGTGGCAGAGCGCACCCTTGTAGAGAGGGTGAGGAGCTCTGTAACCTGGGAGGAGCTCGGAGTAGAGCCGCTGCTCCTCCACATCAAGAGAAGCCAGCTGAGGTGGCTCGGGCATCTGCTTTGGATACCTCCTGGACGTCTACCTAGGGAGGTGTTCCAGGCATGTCCCACTGGGAGGAGGCCTTGGGGAAGACCCAGGACACGCTGGAGATACTATGTCTCTCAGCTGGCCTGGGAACACCTCGGGCCCCCAACCCCCCCAACCCCCCTTGAGGAAGTGTCTGGGGAGAGGGAAGTCTTAGGTTCTCTCCTAAGACTGCTGTTCCCGCAACACGAACCTGAAAAAGCAGCTAAAAATGAATGAATGAATGAATGAGTGAATGAATGAAATATTTAAACTTTATAATTTGTTTTATAGCATAAGCCATGTTTATATTTAAGGTTGTTTGTTTATGTTTAACCCAATTTTGCCTGAAATGTATTTATTTTCAACAGCATAGCATTGGTAGTCAGGTTAAAACTTTTTATCTGTTGGTTTTTGATAGAATCTGTGATGTTGTGTTTTAAAACAACATGTTCATGATTTCTGGTAGAAAAAGAGGGCCACAGTATTAAATATATGGCTGCATGTTTTTACTGTGGACATGTTACCTTTTTAACTCTGTATGCCTCAAACCATCTTCTGTGTTTGCTGTTGAAAATCTTTTTTTTTTTTAATAATATTGTTTGTTTATTTTTGTTTTGTTAGTTTTTAAAGTTTGTTCTGTATGTAGTCTGACAAATGAATTTGCTGGAGATTTATAAACTTTGTACAGTTCAATATTATGTTGCAAAATCAATATAAACATTTAAAAAACTTAAATACTGCTACATTTGAACAAAGATTGTAAAATGCAGGCTAAGTGAATATTTGCATTCTAAAAACTGTTTATAAACTCCTAAAATATTATGTTTATTTTGTTGGTTGTGCATGTAATAGTTCTATTTATAACTGTATTGTCCTGAAGAGCACTTTTTATGCTAAAGTGGTTCTTTATATTAGTTTAGGATTTTTTATTTCCTGCTCTTTTGTTTTTGTTTTTAAAATCCGCAACTGACAAAGAAACTGAAGATCAATACAGGTTTCTTGAGCTCAAGCATCAACTACACTCTCAACTAGCACTCTCTTAACAGAAAAAAAAAGATCTGTTCTTAAAATGTCTGTACATTTTAACTTTCAAAATGTAGCTTGTTCCCTACTAGTAATGTTTTCTTTGTTTCTGTTTTTAGCTTGGCAGAACATGTAACCGGCTCTGTTCAGTTGAAGATGCCTTGCTCCACTGAGTAAGTAACAGAGCTGTAGGTTATTGATGACCTTTTGAATGAACAGAGATACTGTGACGAGTTTCTGAGACCTATTGTTGTGCTATTAATTCACATGTTGCAAAGATCAGTACACAATTCCTATAAACTGAAAACATTCCAGTTATTGCATGGTCAGTGCATTGCATGGTCATACGCTCTGGATCAGCGTGTATGACAGCATATTCCAGTTCCAGCCAATATCCAGCAACTTTACACATCGTTACCTTGGAATTATAAGGTTCCATTTAGAAATGGACCAATCGACTCTATACAAAGAAGCTGTGTGTCACTGCAAATGGTGGTCACACTAGATACTGACCGGTTTTCTGACCTCTCCTCCTGAATTGAGGAGTTTAGGACTGATACACTTATTTTAGATTTGAAGATTTTCTCCCAAATTGGTGAGTTATGAGTTACATAAGGCCTTAAGATGTTTTGTGAACATGGCCTCTGAACTGATACTTAAATGGAATTTTGCCTTTGTATTTCATAATTATACACATAATAATACACATGAAAAACAGAGAGGTGTGCCTGGACTCTTTCATGTTTGTAACAAACAGTATTGGGGGTATCGCATTGTTGCATAATAATATTACTTTTCTACGTAACAAGTAAAGTAACAAATTGCATATAAAAATAAGCAACGTTATTTCAGTTACTTTTTGAGTTTAAATTTGAGTTTTTTACTTTTTAGTTTAAATAGCTTTTAAAAAAATAAAGTGCTGAATTAAAATGAAAGAAGTCACAATGAATCACAGTCAATGAAATTCTTTTAGTGGACAGTGATTTTACTAAAGACAAAAAGTAGAGAAGTAGCAAAAAGCTTTAAACTTTCAATAATCTGTATATACTGCATGTATAGCTCTGGGGTAAAGAAGTTTTAAGATAACATTATCTTAAAATATGATTTTAGATGTGTTTTTTAAAGTTAAATAGGTGTAGGTTATACAGTGTGTTGTTAATTGCAGAGTTTTTCTATTTAAAAAAAAGAAAGAAAAAAATAAGATATCAGCCAGGAAAGAAAAAGTAATGCAAAAGTAACTCAAAAGTAATGTAAGGCATGACTTCCTATAAAAGATAACTAAGTAATGTTAGTTACTTTTTTAGGGAGTAACTCAATATTGCAATGCATTACTTTCTAAGTTTCCCCAAAACTGTTAATAAATTATATATGAAAAAATTTGATAGAAAAATACTTTAGACATTTTTCACGCATAAGAATTAATAGGGGTGCCAGTAATTTTGCACATTGTGTATTGTAGAGAAAGATTTATACCTGAAGTCAAAATTATTAGCTCTCCTGTGAATTATTTATTTTTTTCTTTTTCTCAAATATTTCCCAAATGATTTGTAACAGAGCAAAGAATCCTTCACAATATTTCCTATAATATTTTATAATATTTTTATTATTTGCTTTATTTTGGCTGGAATAAAAGCAGTTTATTTTAAAAAAATAAAATAAAATAAATATATGGTCAATATTATTTGCCCCCTAAAGTAATATTTGTTTTCGATTGTCAACAGAACAAACCACTTTTATACAATGACTTGCTTAATTACCCTAAACTGCCTCATTAACCTAATTAAGTTAAGCATTTAAATTGCAAGCTGAATACTAGTGTCTTTAAAATTATCTAGTAAAATATTATTTATTGTCATCGTGGTGAAGATTAAAAAAAATCAGTTTAGAAAATAATTATTAAATATATTATGTTTCGAAATAAATCTACAGGGGAAGCTAATAATTAAAGAAGACTAATAATTCTGACTTCAACTGTAAATCATAAGATTCAACACAATTAAATACTGAAACTATTGAACTATTAGCCAATAATTGCCAATAACTGCAGAATACCAATGGCAATAATTTCGCACAGTGTGTATCGAAGTTTTCACTCCATTAAACAGCAAAATAGTTGACATGTCAGACTCGAGAACTTGTTTTAATAATCACCCTGGATATTCAAGCTTTGTAACTCTGAAAAAAGCTCTGTCGCCAGACTTCACAGGATCTCATTGTCTCCGTCAGCTTTGGCTTCGCAAAGAAACAGCCTAGCAGAGCTGTGATATGGAGACAGAGCAGGTACAGCTCAGCTCAGCTCACCTCTCTGGTAATTGAGTTCACAGCTAGTAGTTTCTTCTCACCCAGGAGGGAACAAAGGCCATCCTCTTCCCCGGCAGGTCAGAGAGGCTCATCAATAGCACAGACTTAAATAGATGTCGCAATTACGAGCCCCAGGTCCAACCGGCTAATTATTGTCGGGGGCCGTAAGCTCTTTAGTGATGACAACCCACACTGTTCATTTATCCTCCTTCTCTTAGGTTAGCAGGGCAATGTTTTTACAATGTCAATTTAACGCTGAGCAGCATCTACTACATGATCTGATCCAGGGCTTTCAGTGCTCATTTCCTCTATGACAGTGATATTGTTTGCAGATGTGGGCTGGTAATGATTCTGCCTGGTGCGAATCATGTGCGTGAATGAGACGATGGTGAATCTGATGGGGAATGGCAGGTGCTTTTTGAGAAGTATCGAAAATAATTTTATAGTGTTAGAGCTTATATAATTGTTTATAGAGGTTTTATGGGGGGAAAGAGTAATGCAAGAGGATACGTTTTAAAGAAGCTTGTTTGAATAAACAAGTTGAATAAACTAAATAAACCTATTTGTGTCCACATTTTTAACAGTGGTTTCATGCATGTAGCCTTGTTAATTGTATATATATATATATATATATATATATATATATATATATATATAGAACCCTTCAATGTAATATTTAAATAGAGTAGAACATTTGTCATGCTAACTCAAAACAACTGATTTCAACAGATCAATTCATATTCATGAGCACAATTATATGTTTCAAATTAGGAAACCACTTGAAATGAACCCTCCAAAAATATTTAGCATATCATTTCATGAATATGAAAACACAAAGAACCAATCCATTTGTCTAAAAGTCATAAATCACACACTAGTTTTCCCAACCATGTCAAAAGGATAAATGAAAAACGTTCCTTAAAAAATCCCTACACAGCAAAATCCCAAAAAGAGTAGAGAGTATTTGGTCCATCACTAACGAGTTACAGCAGTCAAAGAAAAAATATACCATAAAAATCAAGTGTCAAAGAGCCCAAATAAAATAAATACTGGTGTAAATTGAAAAAAGTTGATACATACCACAAAAAAGTATTTTCAGTGAATCTTAAGGACTTTTGTACACATCTGACAGAAATAGCTTAGTAATAAGTGAAGCTGTCGATTCTGTTTGTGGAGTTGTTTTATTATCCTGGTAAGCTGAGATTTTGAGAGATTTATTGAGCATTCAGTGGTGTTTCTAAGGTCATGTCAACATGTTTAGTTAATTTTGTATGAAAACGCTTTTTTCTTAATTTTCTAATAAGCACAGACCCTGGCGCTTTTGAAAATCCTCACCCAGACAAGAGTTTTTTTTTAATTTCTTTTATTGGGTTTCAGTGATCTGATACAGCGTTTGGGTTTAGAAATAAGCTTAAATGTATTCAATACCCATGTTTGTGTGGACAGCAGGACCTAAGGTTCTGACTGATTTCATTTGTGTTTTTATGTTTTTTTTTTTCAGTGATTTTGCTTTTTAACAGCATGCGTTCAATTTTTTTTTAAAATTCTGCTCCCGTGTTATTTTAACTTTCGTTGTGGGAGTGGGACCAGTGAGCAGGGCCAGATTAACCAATGGGCATTATGGGCACAGGCCCAGGGGTCCGTGCACTTGGGGCCTCTGCGTTGGAGTGTAGGCAAAGTGCAAAAAGCGGACCTCGTTGGAATAAACTAGTAAAGCCATTCACGCCCATCACACTTTGATTGACAGAGACAACTAAACTAAAGAGCGCAACAGACAGCAGCGTGAGTGGTGTAGCTCGTATTGCATGGCAACATGTTTTGACACAATCGATCATGGACCCAGTTCGAATCCAGTTTCTGATGAACAAAAGTCTGAATTCTCACGAGGAAAAACATAAAAACCAAGCACTATAATGCATACTAGTGTCTCTCATAAATGTACTGTTAAGTCACAATTTGTTTTCCCCAGAACTGCAAGCAATATAGTCAGAAACCTGGCTACCCCATTAAAAAGTTAACAAAAAAATGTAACAGCAATAAATAAACTCTGAATTTTGTACATTTGGAATTGCAAAAAAAATAACAATTGTGAATTTAGTCCTTCATCTTTCCAAGAAAGAACTGTGGGATGTTTTACTCAACTCAACATTCTGAAGATTTTCAACACATAATATGTTCATTCATCATTAGCCTGATAAAATATACAATCTTATTCTACAAAACTTGTTTTTGGATTTTTTTTCTTTTCCACATCTGTAAATTTTTAATTGTGGAGTCATAAAAGAGATTCCCAAAATCCCCTTTATAAAAAAACCTGGACTCTAATATGTTTAAAGAAAAAAAAGAAAAAAAAAAAAACTTTAAACCCAACTTCGTTCTTTTTTTTTTTTTGCTAGAAATGTATACAAATTAATGCATATTGAATAAAAAACTGCATCATTTGCATATTTAAATATAAAATATGTTAATGTAAAAAAATCAACCCAGTAAATATATTAACTAATCTATTTTTCCACATTTGTTTTATCCATTCACATGCAAAATCTTGCCTTAAAGCCAGACTGAATTCAACATAATTAGTGTGATAATAATTCCACCAAGTGCTGCACGCATAAAGCTGTACTTCATCATACAGTACTAACTGTACTTCTTTTTTTCCTTTACTGCTGTTTTTCTTTCCTCCAGCTTCCTGAACCTGTAAGTGAACTGTCTTGTTTTTTCTTCTGTTCAGCAGTGGATTTATGCCCTCTTGAATCTTCATCATCATTCTTGTCAGTCAGAGCTGTACGAAGAATCCATCGCCGACTCCACTATCTGGACAAACTGTCAGACCCATCCACAAAAACATGCTCCTCGGTCTGACTCCTGTCAAAAAAGTAATCTGCTTCAAGGAGATGTACTTCATGTTTGCTGTAATGGCAGATTCTTGTTGTAATGAGCACAGGCCCTCCATCTGAGCATATTTTGATAGTGTTATTTATAGATAAAGAAATGTTTGTTTTTTCCTGCAGTTGAGAGTCTGTCAAAACCCGCACACAACAGAGCTGAATATTGCTGTATGTGTCACTGAAGTGAGGATTTATTATTTTAAAATTTTGAAAACAAAATACCTATTTTAAAAGGAAAAAAAAAATAGCTGTATTATTTTTACTATACGAGGTCACAGAAATAACCACCTTTTGTCTCCAAAGGCTCTTTCTTGTTGCCCCAAAGCACTAGATTCATTTATTTGCTCGGACCTTCAATGGCCATGACTCTGGTAAAGAAATTAAATGCCAAAACATGTCTCTTATTGACCATTTTCTCTTGAGGGTCTATATTACGCAATTCTTCAATATGAGCAAAACAGCAACTGTGGTTTAAAATGAGGGGTAAAATATTTTTCGGTAATGTCCATTTGTGTAATAGATGGGAAGTGTACAAAGTAAAATACTTTGTAACATCATTCTGGTATCAGTGGTGCTTCACTTCTACAGGCATGTATCTGTATATATTTTATAAATATAAGGCTAAACATTTGAACATGTATGTTACTGGAACATATGTAACCTTCTGTAGACATAAATGAATGGAATGTCAACATCATGTGATTACTGCTGATTAATTTGTACTTAAACAAAAATAAAATCCCCTGTGCAAGCATAGTATTTGTTTAGACTGAGTCCTCATGCTAATCACATGTCTGTTAATGTTGATGTATACTGACAATGAAGTCATCATCAAGCGCTATAATTACGTGCATAAGTGCTTGACAAGCCTAACAGTCATCTTTAATTCAGCGATGATGTTGCCTTTAGAGAATCTTCTGACTGATGGTGACAGATTATTTTTGCAAAGGTGATTTTAAAGTGAATTGTTCTAAGATTGTTTAAACTAATATACATTCACACGGGGCGTCAGCATCAACGCTTCTAATTCACTTTGAATGGGTGACGTCTGACGTTGCCGAACTACATTGTGGATCCGTCGGCGCTGCTTCAGAGGCGTTGCTCGCTGCAGAAGTTGGGACTAGCTCAACTTTTTCAAGCGTCAGCCAATCATATTGCTATATGTATATTACACCAGCTAGACAGTGGCCAACTGCTGAATGAATTTCATTGGCTGACGCTGCTATGACGATCACTTTAGCCCCAACTTCAGACATGCCTTCATTCAAGCGTTGACGCTGAAGCCCTGTGTGAATGGGGCGTTAGCTTGTGATTTAGCACGCTTGTTTGGTGTGCTGTCCCGGGAGAGAGCCCTGAGCTCAAGGGATCCTCGGGCCCAGGGCTCCCCCTTTCACAGGGGAAATTGAGCTCAGTTTAATCTCAAACTCCCCCGCTGCTGAGGCCAAGGTGAACTTCTATAAAATAGAGCATATTTGGACAGTGGGAGAAAACAGGAGAACCCAAGGGAAACCCACGCGGACACAGGGAGAACATGCAAACTCTGCAAAGAAATACCAGATGGCCCAGCAATTACCCAACGCCATTGGTTTTCTTGCTGTGAGGAAACAGTGCTTGTCACTGGGCCACCGTGCCGCCCATTCTTGATAAAGATGGGAGGAGGGGGGTTTCTTCCAGTTGAAGATAGTTGTAGAAAGGAAATGAGTATATATATATATAGTGCCTTGGGATCTTTTAATTGAAAGATCATGATTAGCTAATGTGGGCCAACTGGGTCAATCATTAGCACGTGCTCCTTGAAATTTGTTTAAAATTAAGCTGCGGTCACACTAGAGTTTGTTTGTGTGAAATTCTGTCGTACGGCACTGCGAAAAGGGGCAGTCTATGGGAGGAAAAGCCCAGTGTGACCACAGCTTTAAACTTCACTTAAGAAAACGAGCAATTACAAAAAACAGCAGCAAATTGAGAAAAGATCTTTATCCGCTTGACAGCACACGTGCTGCAAATCCTCAAAACCCAAACACATTTTTTAAATACGTGCTGCATTTCCGCACAACTTAAACAAATTAATAAAATGTGCTGCATTTTCTCACAACACTTGCAAAAAAAACAGAACACAATGGAAATGTTTCAAGGAGACCCTAAAATGTGTCAGATCTGGCTATTATGGTTATTTAGGCTAATAGATAAAAATTAAAGCCAAGGGACATCAGTCATGTTTCAAGGTTTCAATCCGTCATGTTTTACAGGTTTTGTAAATCGCTTTCGTAAATTGTTTGCGTTGTGAGAAAATGTAGCATGTTTTATTAATTTGTTTGCCTTATGGGAAAATGCAATGTTTTTTTAGTGTGTGAGCGTTGTGACTATTTGCAGCATGTATGCTTTGAAATTGATGAAGATCTGTTCTAAATTTGGTGGCTTTTTTGTAATTGTATGCGTTTTCTTAAATGCAGCCTGTTAAGCTATTGGTCAGGCTCACATTTTCCAGATGCACCTACAGTACTTAAAAACATTTCAGCTTTTCAGAATGCCACAAGCAATCTACTTACATCTCCCCTCCACACCGGGCCACGGAAAAAATGTTTAAAAGGTTGGGGACCACTGTGCTAATCTATCTAAAGCCTATTTACAATAATACCACATCCATATCTCACTAGGGTCTGGCATGTTATTGGGTCCCCAAGAAACATTTTTGTTGTGTTACGTGGATATTGCTATATTTTTAATTTCTAAAACAAAACTATAAAAAATTATCAATTCATTGTGTTCCCATGTGCTGCAGCAATCATTAACGAAGTATTGTAAATAATAAATTACACTTTATGGTTCGAAAACCATTTTTTAGTAATTTCTATAAATTACTTATGATTTTTTTTTTCATTTTGGTACAAAGGAGGAAAAACTCACAGAATTTAGAGAAATTGTGTTACATTATACAGAAAATGAAAAAAAAGGCCAAAACTTAATGAAAAAACTATTACTTTTGAAGTGTCCTTCCTTAATTATATATATATATATATATATATATATATATATATATATATATATATATATATATATATATATATATATATATATATATATATATGAATTCAGAATATATATTTGAAGTCAGAATTATTAGCCCCCTGAATTATTAGCCCCCTGTTTAATTTTTTCCCTGATTTCTGTTTAACGGAGAAGATTTGTTCAACACATTTCTAAACGTGATAGTTTTAATAACTCATTTCAAATAACTGGTTTATTTTATCTTTGCCATCATGACAGTAAATAATATGTGATTAGATATTTTTCAAAACTTCTCTACAGCTTAAAGTGACATTTAAAGGCTAAAAACTAGGTAAATTAGGTTATAGGCAGGTTAGGGTAATTGGGCAAGCTGTTGTATAATGATGGTTTGTTCTGTAGACTATTGAAAAAAAAAATTCCTTAAAGGGGCTAATAATTTTGTCCCTAAAATGTTGTTTAAAAAATTAAAAACTGCTGTTATTCTAGCCGAAATAAAACAAATAAGACTTTCTCCAGAAGGAAATATATTATCATATATACTGTGAAAAATTCCTTGCTCTGTTAAACATCCTTTGGGAAATATTTAAAAAAGAAAACAAAATTCAAAAGAGGGCTAATAATTCTAATTTCAACTGTATATATGCAGTTGAAGTCAGAATTATTAGCCCGCGTTTATTTTTTCCCCCAATTTCTGTTTGACAAAGAGAACATTTATTCAACATATTTCTAAACATAATAGTTTTAATAACTAATTTCTAATAACTTATTTTTTTTTATCTTTGCCATGATGACAGTAAATAATATTTTACGAGATAGTTTTCAAGACACTTCTATGCAGCTTAAAGTGACATTTAAAGGCTTAACTAGGGTAATTAGTTTAACTAGGCAGGTGTCACAATCACCAGCGACCTCTTACCACCAGAGGTCGCTGGAAAACATTCACTCTGATAGAACTACAAATCTGCTTGTAAATGGACTATATATTCAGTCATGCCACACACACACACACCTGCCCAGTGGCGTTGCGAGGGGGGGGGGGGGGGGTCTTAAGCCCCTGATGTATTGTCAAAAGCCCCTTATCTCTTGGAATATGTTGCACTTAAATAAAAATATGTTGTATAACATTTATTTTGTTATCTAAGTACTGAATATTATCACATACATCAAACATTCCACTTAATGCAGCGTTTGTTTGTGTCAGGTAATTAAATCATCAGCTGTTCAGCAGTACCTGTTTCTACCGGCAGGTGGGAGTGGCTCTATTGTCACATGGTGTTAACAAAAATCCTGCCACTGCACTTCATTCATTCATTAATTTGAGGAGCTGAAGCTAATGAGGTAATAATACAACTCTTTCGCAAAACTGAATAGTTAACTACTGATGAAGTTTGTTTCCACAGTATAAAATGTGTGTACTTTTGGAGACATTAAATAACTATAATCAGTAAAATGTGCATCATATCAATGTAAATACATGCGAGTAAGTAAAAAAAAACGTAAATTGTACTAGCTTTCTAGATATGATATTTATATGATATAGCAAGTCACATCTGTTTCTGTAATAGTTAAATCACAGTGAGTTTATGCATCTAGCTTATTATTATATAGCTATATTCTACTGTAACATGCTTTGTCAGTTTGCATCAAATTATAAATCGACTTTCTTATGAAAATACCTAAAATGGTTGTAAGAGCACATACAGTTGAAGTCTGAATTATTAGCCCCCAAATTCTGTTTAACGAAGAAAGTTTGTTTTCAGCAAATTTCTAATCATAATAGTTTTAATAACTCAACTCTAAAAACTAATTTATTTTATCTTTGCCATGATGACAGTAAATAATATTTGACTAGACATTTTTTAAGACACTTCATACAGCTTAAAGTGACATTTAAAGGCTTTAAAGGCAGGTTAGGGTAATTAGGCAAGTTATTGTATAACGATGGCTTGTTCTGTAGACTATAGGAAAAATATATATCTTAAAGGGGCTAATAATTTTGACCCTAAAATGTTTTTTTTTTTTTAATGTAAAACTGCTTTTATTCTAGCTCAAATAAAACAAATAAGACTTTCTTCAAAGGGAAAATATTATCAGACATAGACTACTGTGAAAATTTCCTTGCTCTGTTAAACATCATTTGGGAAATATTTAAAAAAGAAAATAAAATTCAAAGGATAATTATGACTTCAACTGTATAAAACATTTATTGTCGCAGTCGTGTAAATGATCAGTTAAAGCCTTTTTATTTTTATTCAGATCTTATTTTTATTCTACTACAGCAATAGCTGGATGCCTTCATCCATATTAGGGATTTCCTAGAATGTTCTACTACTTTTCTGAGGAATATATAGAATTTCTGGTCAAGTATGAATAAAACAGGCATTAGATGCATTTAAAGTGCTACAATGCCCACATCACCCTATTTTGAGGAAAACTGAAAAAAAAAAATCCCTCTGAAGAAATTTAAAGTAAACATATTTCTAGCATAT